GCACCCACGTGCGCATGTATCCCATGTGCCAATGGCAAAAATAAAATAAAATCACATGGCTGACGTCAACTTGATATCATGTAGGGCAATCTCTTGCTCAGTCCATTATGTGCTGGGCTTAAAGTTGGCCTCCACTTTGGGCCAGCCTATTGGGTGGGGTGAAGTGGGGTTTTGGGGGGAGGGGGGCTAGCCTAGAAAATAAACCTTGGGCTAGCACATTTGTTAGAGGTGAAAGTGCTTTAATATTCATCTTGAACCCACTTTTTTCACTTAGACATATAAATCTTTGAAACGGTGTCATGTCATGACAGATGAATTAACGCTCTTCTCCGAGTCGGCACATGGATCCTTGTACCCTGAAGTCCCTCCATGAATGTCTTGCCCAACAAATGGGTCTTTCGTATCAAATGAAATTCTGATGGTTCTCTTTAGCGTCAGATTATAATTTGATGATTTTTTTAGGATTTGAACTACATGGATTATTGTCATTTTGTTTTAGAAGCTATTACTAGATTGGTTTTTTTTACTTTCTGCAGAATCAGCTTATTACTTTCTGCAGAATCAGAGATTTTGTTCTCTATATGTCGTCAAAATTTTCCGTCAACTTAAAAAGTAGTGGAAGCTTTACTCCCGCTAATAAGTTGAACATTTTCATCACATTTCCAGCTAGTCCATTTTTTAAGAAGAAAAGGTCAGTTTACTTAATCCATTGACACTTAAGTTCCAACTAATCTAATCAGTTAGCTAGATTGTAGTACTAACTACTAAGTGGCTATATTTACACTTTTTAACAAACCCATTCAAATTTTCGTCTTTTTTTTCTTGGTGCAATTTTCGTCATTTGATTATATGTATATTTAGGGGCGGATTCACTTTGAGATAAGGTGGGCAACTGACTCCCACCCAAGCTCATAAATCTTATATGGAAGAGTTCGATGTTGCCTTTTGAAAATCTGAGATGCTCTTGAAAGCTGTCTTCCAATTGCTAGCCTCACATCTTTGTATGCATTGCTATGTGCTTCTGTCGATAGGCTCACTCCGCATATATTGGTTCTCGAAATGCTCGATCAAAAGCTGACATCATTCAACATGCTTGTTCAGAAGTTGGCATCTGTTGACAGTTGTGCAATATGACTTTGCAAATGACTTCAGACCCATCAAGACTCGATGAAAATGTTAATTTGCATGCTATTCTGTCCAACAAATTTTGCACGATACACGCACTATTCTTACTAACCCCCCAATATTTTTTTCTAGATCCACCACCGTTTATTTTCATATAATCATTAGATGATGAAACTAATACATTCTATCATTGAAGAACCAAATATCAATAATAGGGCTGTCTTGCTGTTTATACGCAGATTACAACCATATGTGGTCTTTAATTTTTCACAATAAGAAAATGAAACAGGAATTGATCCAATAATTTGGTAGATTCAACAACTCCAGGCAAATAAAGTTCAGAATCAAAATCATTAAAAACAGTCACTTGGTGTGTATTCTTGATTAATGGAATAATTAGATAAAAAGACCAATTATGTGGTCATTTATTAGGTTTAATGTTTGAGATTTCGCTTCAGTTTTGGTCCATTTATTTTGAATACAATTGAATAACTTTTCTATTTTATAGTGATGAGATCAGCCTATTTTTAAGAATGTATGTTTACAATTTTTTTGACAAAAATATTAAGGAAACTCTTTTAAAAGTGAAATTATCTGCCACCTTGTTTTTGTGTGACACAATAATATTGATATTAGAATTCACGTTAAATTGTAAAGTGACAGAGATTCCATAAAAAATCTCACTTTGAAAGAGTCTCGTTAATATTTTTTTTTTCTTTTCGGAATATCGTGTACCCTCTCCACAATAATGCATCCTTAATTTTAGCTATGTTTCCATATTACACCATTGACCGTTACTTTTATTTCTCTATTTGCTTTTGAGAAGGTATATGTATTGGTTTGTATAAATTTATAAACCACATGGATAAATTCATAAACCAGCATAGGTTTGTTAACATTACAAAGTTACAAATAGTTAAGAAGCCAGAAGGGATGGGCGAAATTTGAAAAGTCAAAGGGTATCTACATAAAATTTAGACAACCAAATCATTTATTAAAAATATTAACCAAACTACTAACCGTTTTAAAAAAAGTGGCAACATCCTCAACAACGTTGTTTTGGCCTAAGTTTAAAAAATAATAATTGGCCGCGAGCTGAGTGCAATGCAGTATCGACAATAGGCTTGAGTTTCATTCAAGCAATTTTGTCAAACACCTTTCATGCAAGTTCAGAAGAATGGATTCCTCAGTTTTCATGTAGTTTCCAACGACTGGAGGGCGCAACCACCCCTCCTTGCTCTTATGTGGCTTCGCCATTTACGAACCTAGTTAACTAAGGATTCACCACCCTTCATCAGAGGTTCATTAACATCTTAAAGCCATATATTTGTGGTGAAGGTTCACCACCCTTCAAACCTATGGTGAAGGTTCATTACCCTACAGACGGTAAAGGTTCAAGAAGGGAACCAAACTCCAACAAACGAATAATACCAACGACGAAGTTTATTAAGCTTGAGGGAGAAATGTATTAAAACTAGAAAGCCTACGAATACCGACGATGAAGATCAAAATCCTATATATTAAAAGGGATTTTATTACTGTGGACCGAAGGCACATAGTCTCACTAAAAGCGTTTTTAGAGAAAATTTTATTTGGTTCTAATTTTCAATAGCGCTTAAAGTGCTTATGCAAGCCTTATATAATTATGAAGATAAACCCAAATCCTATATAGTTATGAAGATAAACCCAAATATAATGGTTTAAGAATTGAAATATTACTATTTTCATATTTTCCATGATTAACCTACATTTTTATTAAGGACATGGTTTCAAAAATATTTTCTCGAAAAACGCTTTCTATCATTTAAAAACACTTACCAAACGAGTTATTAAATTAATTAAATTTGTTACTAATAGTCCTTTAAGTATACAGCATATTTTGGTTTAAATATTTTTCAGTTCGAAGGTCACCATAAACACAGACACTTCACCTAAGCAACGACCACCTTTTATATTCCATTGAAACTAAATTAAAATTTTGAATATTGCCTTATACAGAACTCTCTAAGTTTATCGAGTGAGCAGGCAAGTATGCACCCAACCAAGTCAAAAGTCTGAGCACCAACCGCACATCATGAAGATGATAATCCCTCATCATCTTTGTACTTATTGGACCATGGGATTAGGGTTCCTCACCTAAATATACCTAATCATACTGATTAACTTAAGCAGAATTTCACTAATATTATCTCCACAAAACTTTAGTAAAATTATGCTTGAGTTAATCAAAGTACAGATAATATTAGTGAAATTCTCTCCTATCAACAAAACTAAAGATAAACAATTAAAATAAAGTTATAAGCAACATAGTAAATTACACACAAAATATTTTATTGTTTTTTTTCTCTCTCCCCCATAACGATGTAACAACATCAGTTGGCCCCATTTTTCTTTTCACCTCCCTCTCTCTTTGACCTTTTTCCACTTGCTCTCACAGTAACACAAATTCTCCATTAAGATTAACAACAATTATTTCGAAAAGTCAAGTCAAGTTTATCGACAATATATTCATAACATAAATTATATATACAATTGAAAAGTTGAGTCATCCACAATATAAATAATATTCAAGACATATTAGAGAAAAAATTATTATGCTAATGTGGATGTAAACGTGCAGAAGAAAATTACAATTAATCATGACAAAATGGATGATGTGCAATTGTTCAGAAATTCAAGAAGTGGAGGCATCCATCATCATTGGATTTAATTAATACGAATATCGACGGTGAGGATTATGTTTCTATTATTATGACCTGTCATAAATAATTGTTGATAGAATAAGAAGGTAACACATCTGAATCTAAACCAATTTGTATTTAATATTTTCGACATTTCTTTTTCCTTTTTATTTCGTACGTAGCTATTATTATAATTATCTTGCAAGCTAAGAATTATACCCTTCGCACGTGAAACATTACATATAAGGAATCAAGGGCCTACTTAACACGTGGCGTGAATGGGATTACTATTATCTATTTATCTTAGAATAATAGAATTTGCTAATTATCAGATATATTGCTAATCAATTGAGGATCAGGAACCAATCAGAAATAATTATGAAATTGTTTGAAAGTATTTTTAAAATTATCGAAATCGAGTTTTTGATGAAATTGATTTTAAGTCTCAAAAACACTTCAAATGCTTTGTCAGGATCTACTCGAATTTTTATTAAGATTGATTTGAAAAACATTTTCAGTCATTTTAAAAGCACATCCAAACAAGTTCCATGCCTTTAACTTTTTACAAAATAATGCTTGAGGTTTGAGATGACTATAAAGAATGCAGAATCGTTATTAGTATTTGGAAAGAATGCAAACTGATTTTTTTCAAACTAATTAATAAACGTTTTTCCAAAAAAAAAATGTGGGATTGACATTTTCCCATGATTTATATCCAAATCAACAACAATTCTTTGAAGTTAAGTCAAGGGTTGAAACCCCACAAGAAAATTAAAATTTCCAATGAGTAGTAATGAGGCTTTATAAGACAGAAATTCAGAATAAAAAGAGGTAAATGAAGACTTAGAAATACTTGAAAAGAGACTCTAAGAAAAGACATGAAGTAGTTGGAGCTGAAGAAAGACTTGGCGCAAAGCCCAGCGCAATGATGTTTTATGATTCATACAACCGATCCTACTTAGTTGGATAAGGCTTTATCAATGGTTGATTGTCTTAGTTGTAATGAGGCTATAGCCTTAATAAGAAAAAAAAATAACGATATCATCATGAAACAAAAAAAAAAAGCAAAATGTAAGAAGTGTAATTGAAGCAAATCCAAAACAAAGGATTGTTTCTACTCATAATTTTACTCAAGAAATTGCCACAACAGCCTCCTTTGGCCAACTACATTGTTGGGAATTTGGAGATTACAAAGTCACCAAAAACAACTAACCCCAGAAGAGTCCAAATCAATTTCTTTGATGAAAACAATAGCTTTCCCAAACAACTCCAACTCTCCAAATTTGTTAGTTTTCAGTTGTTGGCCAGTCCTTCCATCCAAAACACCAACCTCCTAATCCTCTCCTCTAACCCACCAATTAAGAGAGAGAAAGTGAGAGAGAGAGAGAGAGAGAGAGACCATTAAAAAAATTTGGAAGAGAGGAGAACCAAACCTTTCTCTTCTAATACACACCCAAATTTGTGATTCACACACCCAATTTCATATCAATTTCCTCTCCCTTGGAGTGCAAGAAGGCTCAAAAAGTTCTTGCAATGGAAACAGCAGGCAAAATTCTCAGAAGATCAGTCCACACATTTCTTCTAAACTACCAATACTTCACCTCAACTGCTGCACTCATTGCCTTACCCTTCTCAGCCTCAGTTCTCATCTCTCAAGCACTTCTTCCTTCAAGCTCCGCCCTCTTGGCCGCCGTCTACAACCGCCTCCACAGTCTTTTCAACGCGGCTGGCTTCCCTCCCTCCTTGGAATTCTTCAACATTCTCAACCACAAGCTCTCCCAAACCATCACCTCCTCAGTCTTCACATTCCCATTCTCCCTCACCTTCCTCCTCATAACCAAATCTTTTGTAATCCAAACTCTCAGCCGCCACCAGAAACCGAATTCCTCATCGCACCCATCATTTCTTTCCACAATTTCTCTCTACACCCCACTCCTCCACACCCATGTTTACAACTCGTTTTTTATCATCTCTGCCAATGCAACCGTCTTTTCTATCTTGTTCATCGCCTTCAATGTCCTCGAAGGATCCGGGTTCTCTTCTCCGAACACCCTCCTCTTCTTATCGGCATCTGGGGCAGTTTTGTACTCCATTGTTCTTGCCAATGCACTCATAATATGCAATCTTGCATTGGTTCTATCAGGTACACAAAATAGTGGCGGCTACTTGGCAATTCTCAAGGCTTGTCTTTTAATCAGAGGAAGAACTTCAACTGCTCTCTCTCTTGCTTTGCCTGTCAGCTTAACCCTAGCTGCAGTTGAAGCATTGTTCCAATACCGCCTCGTACGAGCCTGCCATTTCACAGGACAGCTCGGATCTTCCATGGCCATGGAGGGTGTTTTCATTGCTTATTTGTACTCAATTCTTGTTGTTCTTGATACAACTGTGAGCTTTTTGTTCTTGCAAAGCTGCAAGCCGAGTTCTCGAGGGATCGAATACAGAGACGACGAAGAAAGTTGTGGAGATTTGAAGGCTGTCAAAGTGCTTCCATGAATTTTGGTTCAAGAAATTGAAGGGAACCCTTCAAAGTTCAAACCAATCCAGTTTTAGTTCATTCCTTTTGTTTTTTAGAGGAAAGAATGTAAAAAAGGCATTGCCAAAGAAAAAAAAAATAGTTTGTATCTTCAATTCAAAGCATGATTTCTTTTGCTTGGTAATCACTCACACCAGGCAACTTTCTTGACATAAAAAAAGCATCCTCTCTAAAGTAGGAGAATTGTATACACAACTTTGCTTATGATTATTATATTCCATTTTATTTAGCTGCTTTGTTCCAATCTTTTTTTTTTTTTTAAGGGATTACCGGGTGGCTTTGCTACACCAATTCATTTTTTCAGGAGCTGGCTCACAGAGGCATTTCAACCTCTCATTTACCACCATTGTGTGATTCACGAGCGTTACATATTAAACCCAGAACATGCCGTGTGGAATATAGACCTGAAATTCGTTCCCAACCATTGGAATTTGGCAACTTTAGCAGTGTGGATGTTACATTTTGGTCTCTTTGTTTCTTTTTCCACTTGTTATTGAAGTTAGTTTTGTGTTGGTTTAGCATTAGAGGGATAATATTGGTCAAATTCCAATGAATTGTACCAGAGTGATTGAGCAATATAAAATTGACATCTTGCAGCGGTTTATAAACTCATGCATGAAATTTCAAAGATGTTCTATTGTGTACGCAAAAGATATTTTGAAACTCAGTCATCACATTTTTCACAAAAAAAAAAAAAAAAAAAAATGTAGCTCATAGTCTTATATTGATTTTGCTAAAAACTGCAAAAATCATTTTAAAACATATTTTCGTGAAATTTTCATCACACCATATGGTTTTTTAAATTCATACATGATACACGAGATATTTATGACATCACATGACGATGTTACCAACATTCAACAATTACACTTTTCACAAAAAATGTGAGCATTAACTCACTAGTTTTAATTGATGGTCCAAATTTCATGTTTAATTGTGGGACTCAATTTATTAATTTGAAAAGGTTGCAGGTGACTTTGGAAATATACAAGGTCTGTTGAATGTGCGTTTTTCCCGTGTGGCATAGCAATCTAACTTTGTTACTTACGTTGAGATGTTCGTACTGTGATTTGTCGTTGTATTATTATAATCGTATTTTTGTTTTCTTCTGATCTTTTAAATTTGTATTCATAAACAGGAAACTTCAGTCATCAATTAGTTTGATAGTTAAAACTCTTTGAGAAATTGATAGAGGATGCAAATCATAAATTTCTCTAAAAATATGGAAATTCTGAAATTTCATGAATTTAAGTATATACTTTTTGACTAACAACCACAAGGAAAAAACAGTCAGTTTCTTAAACCAACCTATATTTATTTTACAATTACAACAACAAAGCCTTATCCCATTAAATGGGATCGGCTGTATGAATCCTAAAGCACTACTGTGCTCAGTATTTATTTTACAATTACCCTAAAAATTAAAAAAAATCCCTGTCGTCGTCTAGTTTCTTTCTGAACCTGATTCCCTATACAACGCCTATCACGACGGGGTCTCCTATCCAAAATTTCAATGTGACGAGGAACTAAATTATATGTTACAGGAAAATGAATTGAATTCTAAACTACGGAGAGAGGGTTAGTGTGATTTACAGGAGTTCCACGGCACAGCAGCGATGTGGGATTTACAGATCCCAACGGCATCTTCCTTGGCGCTGTACATTTTATGCCAAACGAATGATGAAAGCTGAAACCTGATTGTGAACCGAGACTGAACTTTGCTCTCCCAAGGATGCCAGAGGGGCCATATCCGACATCATGGTGGAAGACGAAGCCAGATTGCCTCGGGGAACCCTTGCTTCTAAATGAATGGTACACAACTGTAGAGTGAGAGCCAAGGTCCGGTCTCTTTGTATGATATCCCACATGACTGATCAGTTGGCCGTGATCGTCTGATTGAACATCTTGTCAAGCATGTATAGTTAAAGATTCATGCATAGTTCAAAACTTCAAATGCTGCAGGACTCGACTAGTTGCCCTTTCCGCCCTCATCCAAATAATATCTCGAAGGGCTTTCCTTTGCACTAGTTCTGAGAAGGGGATTCCGACCAGGATCCTAAAAGCATATGCTCCTTGCCACTAGTTAGCAACACTGCGACTGAACACTCTTCTGTATGGCGGGAGAGCTCGATTTCCCATGTAGCGATAGAATGACTATATCCTTCACCTATTTTGGTGCTTTTTTTGTGAGGTTAATGCCCTGGGCCTTTTCCATTTCAGCTTCCTTTTCGGCTTTCTTCTTCTCCAATTCAGCCTGTTTGATATTCTCTTCGTGTGCTTTCCGAAACAACTTAACAAAGTTCAAGAGAGTCACAGTAACTGCAGTCATCAAAACAGGGTTTTAATACGGTTTAAGTCAGCTCCATTATTACTGCATGAAAAGAGTGCATTTGTAGGCATCCAGAGAAGCCCTCAGCCCCTAAAATAGCATAAAGGTCCCAAAACTATCTTACAAAACTCAAAATCTAAAAAAATTCAAAAACCCCCCAACCCCACCCGCAACTAACCTTGCTCAAATGGACAGCGGGCGGGATCCTCACCAAAATATAATGCAAGAGCATCTGCATTTCTACCCTGTCCACCAAAAGCAAATGACAAAATTGAGATCACAAAATACAAAATAAGACAGGCGACAAGGAGACGATAATTAGCATATTACCACTACAGAATATAGGTTCGTCACAGATGCCACTTCGGTCTCAGCAACAGTAATGAACTCTTTCAATGTCTAGAAATTCAACAACAAAAACAAGTACAAAGAAATTGTTAGGGAATAGGAAAAAACAGAAGAAGAAAGGAAGGGCCTTTCAAGAAAGCTTTATAAACTTTAAAAGAGAAAGATTACATACCTTACGGAAAACTTCTGACACAGGGCCATCATTTTCTGATGCCGTCAGCTCCTGCTTGAGCTTTTCTAACCCCTTGATTAAAGCTTGCATTTCTTCAGCTAAAGACTTCAATTGTATCTGCATGGAAACAAGATTTGTCACATTCAAAATCTAACTACAATGCTTAGAATTAGCACCAAGGAAACGAATGAGCACCTTTGTTGCAGGCTCCAGGCTGACAAGGTCCTGGTAAAAATCAAGAAGTCCTGGCGATTTAGAAGCAAGGATCTAAGACACAAGAAAGCCAAACATGAGACTCCAAATATGATAGTTATCTTGTATCTCAAAACATTTGGCAACAAAAACATAAATTTTGCAAGCAGTCATCTCTTATTTGTTAGTTCTAGATCATCTCTTATTCCCCACTTTGATTATTCATTAGGTCGTACCCAATGCACAAGGCTCCCGCATTACGCAGGGTCTGGGAGAGGTGAATGTCGGCTAGCCTTACCCCCATTTATGGAGAGGCTGCTCCCAAGTGATTATTCATTACATAACCAAAAATATTTAAGAAACGTACCTTACAAAGATAATGCATGAGTGTCATCTTACTAGTAGAGGCACGCGTATCATAGAGCTTCAGTAGACTGTCCAACTTGAACCCAACAGCAGCACCTGTACAAAAACATTTGACAATTCATATTATTTTGGAGGCTACCTAAAATAAAGCCAAGTGCACATAGGAATTTAAAATGGAACATGAAATAGCTGGTTTCAAATATAAAGGTTGCTTCTGCCAGTAACTCTTAATTCTCCAGGATAAATTCTAAGGCCCAGATAAAAAGATCAATTCTAAGCTCCAGCATGTGAAGCACATGCCTCAGAATAAAGTGTCGTTAAAATTAATTAAATCCTCCTCCTTGAACCCAACAGTGATCATAATTTTAAAACAGAAGCACAATGTTCCGAAAGGACTTGCCTATGGTTAAATCAAATGGTACTCAAGCGTCTGAAAGCCATTTGGAGATATGAGGCAGTTGCTTTGCATTCATATAATTTATCTTAATACTTCCCACCTCCCAGTCTACAGTAATAGATTATCTAAAGTGCTTACTTTAAGCAACATGTAAAAGAACCTTCCTACATGCTCTAAGTCAACAAACATAACAAATTCCAATATAACTTACCCCTTGCAGTTCCTTGGTTCAATGTGTTCCCCAAAAAAAGAATCTTCTTCATAATTTCCTTCAGCTTAGAAGAGTTCCGAACCTAATTTATCAGTAAAAGAGTAGCTAAGTTAAAATCGGTATCTATATACTGCAGGAAGCGATTCATTAGTAGTGCTGACATACCTCCTCACATGCAGAGTTTACTGTGTTCAAACTTCTTTTAAATTCTGAGACCTGCAAAAAAGGTCAATAATTAGATATGATGCAAAGAGACATACATTAGGTCCCATTTACTGCATTGGGAACAAAACAGCAGATACTACCAAACCTGAGTGTTGAACTGAATCTTGAAAGAAAATACTCTCATCTTTGACTCCACCCGAGGCACTTTCATCAACTCCAAAAAAAACTGAAACATTACAAATATACAGAGACTTTATATATCTGACAATTAGTTATAGCTGTAAAAGTATTTAAGGGACATTACAATCCAATATGCACTCAAAACATCTAACACATAATTGCTATTATTAAAATTCTCTGAGCAACATAAAATATTTTTAGGAAAACAATATTCAAAAACTCAATAAAACTACAACCACAAAAACTAATCTGAAATGACTCCGCCTGAATTAACATCACTTCATATAACATGCTATGGTGCCTCACTAAATGTCTGGGTTTTTCCTATGTCTATTTAACACACCAATTAAACCAGTAGCAGTGCAACTTAGCATCTTAAACAAGGACAAGCGAAATATATCCCTTAGAATCTTTCATTTTTCAACAGTCCAGGGAAATCCTTTATTGATGTTTACCGATTATCAGCCCATCTTCAAGTCTTCCATTGCCGCCACATTTATACGTGTAGTAATATTCGAGGAATATATGAAAATTAAACTGAATAAGTAGTGAATGGACTGATCTGTGTCTCCTTAATATTATAACTTCATAGAGTACAGGATAAGGGGCCCAGTATAGAATTTAAATCATAATCAATATCCAAAATCTGGTCAAAGCTTTCGTACATGACACAGAAAGGGCCAGCGACTTAGAGCATCTCCAATGGGAGATGCAAAATCCCTTGAAATGTGTAATATACAATTTTGGTTGGCCAGTCAACTTTCCAACGGAGAGATGCAAATATTAATCCTACCATTGAAGATGCTCTTATAGTAATTAATCTACTACGACAAATACTTCAAGAATATATTTGATCTGGTCATACCTGTTCACACCTCCCCAGGGCCTCCTTGTCACCAGTGTAGTTCTAAACAACAGAAATCACAAGCAAGAAAACATATGATTAATGAGGGGATGGAGCCATGTCAGATTGTAAAAAGAGTAAAATAACCATCAAAATAGTAAAAATAAAATAAAGAAAAAAGGCTACACCTTGAGAAGTTCCATCTCCTCTTTAGTAGGACAAAATTTAATTAAATTTTCCACCTGATCAACATCTAATACTGAGTCATCCATTTTTAAAACAGCAGCCTGAGAATGTGCATATAAATACATAATTAGCTAAGTATGAAAAGCGTTCATTTACAACATCAGCATTAAAATATTCGGGAAGCAAAAAGCCAATTGAGAAGACTCATCAGATATGCAAATTATCTATATTCACAAATCATGAGTAAGAAGAAATTCAACTGTATCAGTTTACCATCATATCAGGAAGTGGCATCTTAACTTTTGTGAGCATAATTTCTGTGTTGTATGCCCTTCTCAGGTCAACCTACAATGTGGTTCAAAGAGAATCACAGTAAGAAAGTAGAGAAGTAATAGCATCTGAAATTATATGGAAAAAAGAGAAAAAAAAATATTCATCAAAATAAATCTCTGCGTTAACAAATATAGCCAGCATCGTGAACAGCCAACTTATCAATATAAGTGCAACTCTACAACAAAAACTCTAGAGACATGGAGAGATGGTTGACAGATAGTTACATTCTAACAGAAGAATCAAATCCCATAACCGGTAGGAAGAACAGGGAAAGAATCACCTTTAACAAGCATAACTTTTTTGTTCAAAAAAAACAAGCATAACTTTTAGAAGGATGATTTTACAGTAAAATAACCAATTGCATAAAATTACCAGTTGAACTTTGTCAGGTTTAGAACCAGCAGGCTTGCGGCGCCCTCCTTTATCTCCTGAGTTTGAAGATTTTGGAACTGTAGCAGAGAAAAGGCTCTCTATCTCTGACACATCAAATTCCTGCGCACTAGATTAAAAGAGAAGCATATTAGTGATTTGAAATGAACAATCCTGAAATAAAATACATGGTTGTGTGTGTTGAACATGTAAGATCCATCAAATCAACAACAAAACTTTATGGCAGAAAACAGCTATAAAAGCAATAATAAGTTGAAAAATAAGATGGAATACTTTTGAGTCTCTCCATGTCTTTGCAGTTCCTCCCACAGGCTTCCTTGCAACGCCCTTGTCACCTTGTTCCAATGTAGTGGTTTCAAGGAGGAGCGTCGAGGCGCTGTGGCAGGTATCCCACGTCCGCGCCCTCTGCCAGCAGCAGGTCCTCTGCCACCTAATGAGGGTGGTGGTGGAGGAGCACCACCAGGAAGTCCAGGTGGAGCAGGAGGCCCTGGACCACGACCTCCTGGAGGTGGTGGTGGAGGTGGTGCTCCAGGCTGTGAGGGAGCGCAGCCTCCACCGGGAGGTGGAGGAGGAGGTGGCACACCATGCCCTGAAGGTGGTGGAGGAGGTGGAGGCACTCCCCCACACATTGGAGGGGGTGGCGGAGGTGGTGCACCACGTCCTGAAGGTGGTGGAGGTGGCCCCCCACGCATTGGAGGGGGCGGTGGAGGTGGGGCCCCATACATTGGAGGTGGCGGCGGAGGGGGGGCACTGTGCATTGGAGGTGGCGGTGGGGGTGGGGGCCCACGCATTGGAGGTGGTGGTGGAGGTGGAGCTCCTTGCATTGGAGGTGGTGGTGGTGGTGGTGGAGGAGGTGCTCCATGTACTGAAAATGGTGGTGGGGGTGGTGGAGGTGGAGTTCCACGTAAAGGTGGTGGAGGTGGAGCCCCTTGCATTGGAGGTGGTGGGGGCGGGGGTGGCTGTGGAGCTCCATGTAAAGAAGGTCGGGGCGGTGGTGGAGCTCCAAATAAGGGAGGTGGTGGCGGTGGATGTGGAGTTCCTTGCATTGGAGGCGGCGACGGTGGTGGGGGTGGTGGAGTAGATGAAACTCCCGGCAAAGGAGGCGGCGGTGGAGGAGGAGGTGGAGTACCACGAGTAGGTGGTGGCGGTGGAGTAGGTACTCCAACTCCAAGAGGTTTGGATACACTTGCAGCAAGAGGAGGTGGAGGGGGAGGCGGTGATGGTGAATTTTGAGAACTTGCCACCATAACATGAGCAGCTGAAGAGTACCCAACCTTCCAAAGGGACGAAGAAGGCTGTGGAGGCATTATGGTGCCACTATTCTGCCCACCAGATTGCAGCGGAGGTGGAGGGAAAGGGGGAGGTGCAGGGACCGAAGCTATACCAGTATTCTGCGTGATAGATGACGAGGCATAAGGAGGTGGAGGTGGAGGTGGAGGTGGAGGTGGTGGTGGTGGCGGGGTAGAAGATGGAAACAAGCACGAGACTGGAGAGGGCTTTGAGAAGACAGAATTAGAACTTAGCAGAGGAGGTGGCGGCGATGGTGGAGGAGGAGGAGAAGGAGGTGCTGTTGCAGCTACTTGTGACAATGGTATAGCTGGTGACAAAAGCTTTGGAGAAGTGTACAATGAAGATATTTGAGACATAGGTGGTGGAGGCGGAGGTGGAGGTGGAGGGGAAACTGCTTGTGCATCAGTATGTTCTGTTGTAATAGAGGAAGTCTCTGTCTCTTGGATTGGTGGTAGTGTCGATGGCAGGCAGGATGTGGACGTCTCTGTTAGTGTCTCTGGTGCAGACTTTGAATGCTTCAAAGGGTCCACTTTACTATGTTTCAGTTCAGTTTCCACATCCTTTGAAACCACAGTTCCAGAAGAAGCTTTCAGTTTATCATTTGCATTTGTATCTTTTGAAGAAGCAGCACCGGCAAAACCAGCTGGTGCACTATTATATCTTGATGGTGGATAGGAAACGTGCATTGAATTAGTATAAGAGCCTTTGTTAGGGGGAATCCACCTAGACACCGCATTTGGTTTTGCTATTTTTGCCGAAGTTCCCTGAGTTTCTTGTTGTTTAGACTTCTGTTTTGCTGTCGTAGTTTCTACACCTACTTTTGTGTTAAATGAAGGCTGTCTCTTATAGGCAGGTGGCTGCAATTTCTCAGCTTTTGGTCTAGAGACCTCAGCACTCAGTTTTGATTGTGCAACCTTGGTCTCTAATCTCTTTCGTGTAGCCAAGTCTTCTTCATTAGTTATATCTTCCATCTCTTCCAATTTCCGGCGCACCTCTTCTACCACTTCCTTAGTTCCAGTATGACTCCGCACATCAGCAGCAACTGGGATGGAATTTGACTTCATATCTCCATCATCCACAGCAATGTCTTTCACAGCATCGACATTGGAATCCACCTCACCGAGCTTATACTTCACATCATCAACGGCAATGTCCTTCACTGCATCATTATTAGAATTTGCCATTCTGTCCTTTTTGTGCTTTCCATCGTCTGACGTACAGTCTACAAAAGCATGACGATCTAAATCCTCCTTCCAGACTTTTTGCTGATCTATATGTTTACGAGTATTGTCGTGAACCATGGAAGAGTCGAAATCCGCCTTCACTTCCTGTGAATCCAATGCATTGCTAAATATCTCTTCCACCTCAAAAAATTCCTCGGGTGAAGCACTCCCTGTCTCGTTTTCTTCACTTGCCACAACTGTGGTGATATTAGGCACAACAGCATCAGCGTCCAGAAAAAGTACCTGATACAGATTTGAGTATGCATTCAACTCCTATAGCATCAGAAAAGGACATCCACACAATAAACAATAACATACCTCTGCTCTGAAGTCCTTTGGAAATTGATCCTTGGCATCCCAAAGAATATCAATATCATCACGACCAAGCATCAATATATTTGACCGTACAAATGCTGTGTGGAACATAAACCTGAACATCATCTCCTCGCGAACAAGATCTTCATCCAGGTGGATGCATTCAAGAACCACATCCCCTCGAACACGGCAACGAATATCAATTTTCACCAGCACACACTCTGCCTGTGATTAGGATTCATAAGAATGCTTAAAAAATATATCATCTTATACATCAGATTTCGTTGCATGAAGTAGACATTACCTGTACATAGAGGTGGGTATTCTTTTCATTCCTTAAAGTTGAAAAGAGAAGCTTAGAGATCCTGTTAGCTGGTGTAGAAGGGTCTTGACCAAAAACACGTATGAAAGGCCTACAACCTTTTCCATCATCAAAAAGTGGAAGGTTTCGAAGTATCAGACAATCCAAAAGTAAAGGTGTATCTGATGGAGGCCATTCAGAACCCAAATTTCGTCGCGAAATGTACTGAAGATATCTCATCTGCGAAGGCTGTGGGTTTAAAGGAGACAAAAGATGGAGAAGTTCCCTAGGAGCCTGCTTGTAAACCATTTCAAGAGTCTTCTGCTCCCCATTGTATTGTTTACGGTACAACAGAAGACCCGCAAGCATAAATGCGAGAACAGGCCATCCTCCTCTTTCACAGTGCATCAGTAACACATTCTGTTGCCCCTCCAATGACAACCAACTTTCACTCGAACGAAGGAAGTGATGAATCATCTCTAGTGGCAACAAAGGACATCCCTCATATTGCCGAGGGTAATCCATTACTGTCATGTCATACTGCGAAAGCACGTCGGAAATTTGGCTCCGCCTATCCCCTTCTCTGAAGTTAAACACCATGAAAGAAGCATCCGGGAAGTAGTCTTGCAGCTGTGCTACAATGCCACCCAAGTATACTTTGTACTCATCTTCTTCCAACACATCGGTCGAGAAGCAGCAGTCAAAAACTGCATAATTTGGAGCCAAAACAAGTTAAAATCAATCCACATTACACTAAAAGGTTCACAATTTTGAGCTAAAAGAATCCCCAAACATACAAAATGCACTAAAAAATACAAAATTCAATCGATTTCGAAGCAAATTCAATCGCATTTCAGCAAGAACCCCAAAAAAAGACTCTGAATTTCCATCAAATTCAATCGCATTGGCCCAAACACGGACCAAACCTCAACAATTGAGCACCAAAAAACCAGAATTTCTCAAATTCTCAAGAAACAGGAAACGGCAAATTACCGTACACCCGCTCGGAGATCTCAAGAAGGCGGTCCGGCGGCTTCCGGTAAAAGAATCGTCTGAACAGCGCCATCAGATGGCGCTGTTTCTCCCCCGATCGGATCCAAAACGGTAATCCAAACCAGCTCCAATTAGATCACAATTCCGATCCCTAACAATATACCCAGCCAGATCTCGCCCTTATCCGATTCTTCAACGGTCCAAAACCCGACCCGAACGAGCCGAACCCTTCCGGCGAAACGAAAATCACGAAAGAAATCGCCTATTGAGAAAAATCAAAAGAGGGTATTGAATTCCCGAGACGAAGTGAGGGAGTGGGGGTTTTGGGAATGGAAAAGCAAAGGGAATTGGAATTCGAGGGAATTCTAGAGAGAGAAAGAAGAGAGGAGAGAGAGAGAAGAGAAGTGGACTGAGAAGGAGAAAGCAGCTATTAGGACCCGACCCGTCTTCTTCTCCTTGGCTCCTTCGGCACCTGTGTGTCTTCTGCAACTCTTCCTCTTTTTTTTTCTTTTTTTTTTAATTTAATTCTCTTCTTTTTATGTTTTTCTGTTTTTCGGTTGGGCAGCGCGGGGAGCGATCGGGCGGGCAGCTGTCCGACGTGGCAAATACGACACTGGTAAAATAATTGATCAATGAATTAAATTCGTTATGAGGTAATTAAGACCACTGTAACTGCCTGAAAAGGAAAAAGATTACGTTTGTTTCTTTGGTCTTTAGGTAAAACCTCTGTTTAAAATATCGATGTAGGGGTCATCCATCTTCGTTTAAAAGTAAGATGTCTTAAATTCGAATATCGTGAATGGTGAATTCGATATCAAATTAGGCTGTTCATTGTGTAACTTAGCCGAATTCTCTATTCCCTAGCATAAAAATATTGATATACTAAAAAAAAAATCAATGTAGGTGAAAATATTAATACAGTGAAATTACGATATTCAAATTAATAGATAATATCGTTTAGGTTTAATTTTCACCAAAGATGAATTTGAATCATATAATTGCTAGCTCATTGTGATGCTAAGTTCACCAATTTCCCTTTATTATAATATCGTTTGTTCAAAAAAAAATTACCAATATATAAATTTATAAAAATATTAATGGTTATATCAATATCGCTTGTCTTCGACGAAAGTTATGGAAAGTTGTAATAGAGTGTGTATATCAACTCATTCAGATTTAATCAAAATTAAAGAAAAATTCTTTAAAAAAAATTCAAAATTCGAAATATGCAGTGGGTTTTAGAAAAATATAGATATTCATTCATTTTCCTATATATCGTCAATATAGGGTAAAGTTTGCATTTCACTCATTTACATATCGATCCTTGTTTTTAGATATCTCACGAAAAATATCGACACTTTCGTGGATATTTTATACTCTTGTAAAACCGTAAAGGGAAATAGTGAAAATACAAAGTTTTTTTTCCCCGTCAAACTTTGTTTTTCGTATTGGGAAGTGATATTCACACATTCATTTTACCTCCCACACACCCTGGTTATTTTTTTTTTGAAATTGATCTTTTTTAATTCATTTGATCTGATAGCTGAGAATTGAGAGGAGTGTGTGAGAAGTAAAAATAAGTGTGTGGATGACACCACCCTTAACATTTAGTTAAACTTATGGTGATACATATTAAACTCATCGTTTGTATTTTCCGTTTCATGATTGATAAGCATTAAGCAAGTTTACTTTCTTTTAATCACAAAAAGTTAGAAATTGTTAGAAACTTAAAAGTGTTGCAATAGTAGCGACTCAAGTTCATTTGAAAACAATTTATAAAGGGCCATTCTCAAGATATTTTTACTTTGATCGTTGCACGAGTCACAGACGTGTAATTCGAGTTTTGTCTAGCATTTATTTTTTATTTTTTCAACTATAATGCTGCTTCAAAATATACAATAACAACGACGATTTATCATGAGATTTTCAAATTTCTATATTAGACAAAATAATAAAATAAGTACTCGTTAATGAGTACCTAAGTAATATTCTCGATCTTAGGCTATATCAAAAGGCACTTTATTTTGATTTGCTTTGATTTACAATCCAAGAATTCAAATTTGAAGTTCCAATGTTCATCCTTTGAGGATAGTGGGGCCAAGAAGTTATATAATCATATTGCATAACGTCATGTCGTCGCGTGTGTACGTTACCCGGAACGTCTTTCGCTCGTTACCGGCAATACGACAGCTTTGCAGCGCTGAGTGATGTCGTTAAGCAACTGGAACCACCACGTGATTGCTCTCACGTGTGGTCAAAGTTTGGGCCGCCTAATTTGGTTTTCTTCAGGGTCAAAGTTTGGGCCGTCGCTTTGCTTCGTATAGCAGGTCAGGTTTCTTACGGCAGCAATCACTGCCGCCCATTTACCTACTTTTCATCCGACTCAAGCAATGGACGGTAACAATTTAATGTAGGGCGATGGGCAAGCAACCTCTTTATGTTTTTGGTTTTTGGTTTTTTTTGTTTTTTAACAATCAATAATATCTACGCTAAGAGAAGAAGTGGACTTAACATCACGATGAATTATCAATAATATAGTTCAAACTCACATTTGACGAGAATCGAACCTAAGACCTCTCACTTACAAGTGAAGAAGAATACCATGAGACTGTAATACTAAGTGGCAGCAATCTTTGTTATATCCAAACGATTAATTTAAAATAAAAAAAAAGTTTGAATAAAATTGACAACAACAAAAAAGATTAATTAAAAGGAAAACTAATGAAAAGGGTTTGAAAACTTTAAGTTTTAATAATAAAGACAAATTAAAGGGTAAAGTGAATAGTACCATGATTGACTTTTTAGTGTAAAAAAGTGGTTTTTCGTTAAAATGAACAGTACCGGGAGTTTTTCGTTAACGTTCCCTTAATTAAAATCATTGACTAACGAGTAAGTAGCCTAATCCCATTTACAAGTGCAAGATGAAGCAATTTTTCTCCACGGACAAGATGAAGATCGCATGCCATTTTGGTTTGCGGGTTTTAATTTTTTTTGGGTAAAAAAAAATTTAGGGGGAGATCCGTTACTCTCATCACTAGCATTAGGGAATATCTGCAATCTCGAGTTTGAATGACTTACGTGTGACACTTAACTGTCAGTTGTCACCGTTATGAATTTACGTAAAAATTTACATATTGCGCATTGACGATGACTGCTGGCAGCAGGACTCAAACATTAATGGAGTCGCCACTCATCATACGTGTTTTATACAACTAATGAGATAAAAAAAGAAAGCCAGCAAGCAAGCAAGCAAAACAAAGCAAATTTCTCATAGCATGAAATGCATTATTGGATTGGTTTTAAGTAAGGAAAACTAACAAAAAGTCTTCAAAATTTTTAGTTTTAATCAAAATGACAAAATAAAAATGTAAGTGAATAACACTAGGAGTGATTTTTTAGGCTAAAAATGTCCTTAACGTTACAAGTAAACAATATCAGAAGTGTTTCATTAAGACTCCCTTTTAATTACCATACAATACCAATGAGGATCTTAAGTTGTTAATTACTTTGTTAATCTCTTTAAATATCCTTGTAACCAAAGAAACATTGTCATTGCAGAAATCAGAGGCACATGTTGGGGGGGGTGGAAAGAAGATAGGACCACAAAGTCAATCAGATCTAGATCCACGTGGCGTGCATGCCATGCAGGTGATTCGTCATAAAGTCAACAACATGAACGGTGCGATTAGTGTTATCATCTTAAAACGGGACCCACGAACGATTCCAGCCACTCCATGCATGCCATGTGCAATCCCAGCATATTCTGAGAGAATATATATATCAATTGGTGAGATGATCATGAAAGGGAGATCTCACCTGCCACATGGACAGATTTTTCAGTGGACTATAGACACGGTCTGATACATTAAGGGCTGGTTTGGTATTGCTGTGATTTGAAAAAAAAAAACTGTTTTTGTTGTGCTGTGAGAATAAGCAGCTATAAAATAAAACAGCAGAATGTTTGGTAAACTTTTTTGTAAAAGTGCTTTTGAAAAAAAAAAAGCAGGTATTGTAGTGTTTGATAAACTTTTATGTAAAACAGATGTGAAAAAAAAACTGGTTTTTCAAAGCTGGGTTTTGCAACTTTGTGTTTTTGGCTTTTTTTTCACCAAAAAATGTGAAAAAAGCTAAAGCTAAATGTTTACCAAACATAAAAAAACTGGCTTTTTTTTATAGCCATTTTTTTCAGAATCACTTCAGTACCAAATCTAGGCTAAATGTCATAGTATAAGTAGTTGTATACTTAAAATAAAATTTCAATAACTTCAAGGAAGCTTTCTCTCATTATGAAGTTTACTCTTACAAAAATTCATATCTTTTTTGTATCGATTTAAATTGTGTTTTCGATACACTAAAAAATTTCTTCCGAATATGATATTTGTGGAAAACTGAACTTCACCTAGCTTCACCATCATGTGTTTTACCAAGGTAATTATTATGGTAACAGTAATCTCAATTGCTTCAGTCTTCAGACAACTCTTTTGATTAAAATGTGGGACTCCTTACTTTAATTAATTTGAATGGTGCTGACAAGTACTAGTTATAAGGTTGTTAATAATATTTGGAATTTATCTAATGAGGGTTGTTATGGTGGACTTGGATCCTCTCCTGAGCCCAAGGAGAGGATCCTCCTGACCAAATGACTTGGACCGTTGGATGAAAATCCAACGGCTACAAACAAGGGGTCCCTTTAAAATTATAATAATTATAGCCGTTAAATTTTCATTCAATAGTCCAAGTCCTTTGGTCAGGAGGATCCTCTTCTTGGGCTCAGGAGAGGATTCAAGTCCTATTATGGTGTTCATCAAGAGCGGGTGTGAGTGCCGCTTGGTCACTCAGTCCCGCACCTGATGCTTACCATGGAAGACTGCATAAGAGAACTTTCATACAATAAGAATGTTATTGTAATAATATATTTAGTCAATTACACACGGTCAAGTGAGAAAGTTAAAATGTAGAATGTAATGAGTAATTAACTTGAAATATTATTATAGTGACGTTCCAATGTAGAAATTTCTCATGCAAAATGTGATCCTAACTAATGCTGGCCAGCAAATGTGGGTGTGAGTGGATGGTCCATCAACCCCGCCCTTCTTGCGCACCATTAAGATTTGTATAAAAAGAGAACTTTCATTGAAACTAAACGTCATTGTAGCAATATTTCAAGTTAATCACGCAATGTAAAATTTAAAACATATAACAATGTGTCATTGACTTTAGGTGTCACCACAAAGACATCAATGCAACGTGAATATCAATGTGGCAGTATTCCAAAGGAATCATGCACCATCACTTAGAAAAGTTACATACATAATAATTCATGATTGATTTAAGATATTATCACAATAGCATTCCGAGGTATGAAGATTGAGTGGAGGATAACCATGCAGATAGACCCATGTTCTGTGGCAGTGACAGATTTGGGCCATTGGTTCCTTTTCATGTTCCCCATTACATTACAATCATGGAGGTTGGAGAGCCCTTCACTCCACCCATGCCTTTAATTTCCATCTTAACG